CTAGAATTCAGCTATAACCAATTCTTAGGGTGTTTCAACAGTATAATAATGGACTTCAATAGATATGAATACTTAGCAACAACTGATGCGGTGCGCATCCCGATCCCATCATACGAATAACAACTAAATCAATATTCACCCTTATTCCTCCTTGTTGCGGCGTGCAACCCGATCTCCCCTATCCTCTCTTATTTCTCCTCAACACATATCACCCTTATCTCTCATGTTGTAATGCGCAACTCAATCCCACTTGTCCACCCTTATTGCTCCTTGTTGCGGCGTGCAAACCGATCCCAATATATATATCAACCCTAATCACAAATGATTAAAAACAAGAGTTTCACAGGTAAATTCAGTTTCCCCAATATACTTATACCGCAATCCACACAATAGAAGGTTACTATGATTAAGAAACTTCACCGGTGTAAACTACTCAACGAGACCAAACAAGGTGTGCCATAAGACACTAACAAGCCAACACATAATAAAACACAACCATAAAATAATTAAATACTCAAATAAAAGGACAACAATTAATATGGAGTTATTAGACATGGAACATATATAGGCAAGTAACAATTAGGACATGGAAGCAATTATGAGCAAATAACAATTTAAGGCAAGAATAGTATAATAGGAAACGGGGAAGGGAAACAAGCTAAAAATGGAAATTTGGTGAAGCATAGGTACTCGTCACCACACCTATATGCCACACACATGGAATTTCACATAGCAAACAAGTCGGGGATTCCTATTCCCTTAAGCCAAAGTTAGGCCAAACAATTACCTCAAGCCAACGAGTAGTTCAACACTCAATCACCGCTTTACCTCTCGGTTCCACTTCCAATCCGCTTGTATCTAGTCATAATTTACTTAATAACATCAATAATTGCTAAATAAATCAGTTCCAATGCATGAATATAGATTCCCAATGTTTTTCCCAAAAAGTTAAAAAATGACCCCGTGCCCACTTGGTCCAAACCCAAAATTCGGACCAAAATCCGATTACCCATTCACCCCCGAGCCCGGATATATAATTGGTTTTGGAATCCGACCTCAATTTGAGGTCTAAATCCCCAAATTTCAATATTCCTAAGTCCTACCCAAAATTCCCAATTCCACCATGAAAACCCTAGATTCTAGGATGAAATCTTGTAAAAAGAAGTTAAAGAGTGAAAGAAATGAGTTTAAAATCACTTATATATGATTTAGGGAAGAAAGAGTATTAGAAAAATCGCCTCTTATGCTTTAGAGTTTTAAAAATAAAAATGGATGAAATGTCCCGCTTATATAGGGCTCACAGATCCTCAGAACGCTGCCCGCGGAAAAAGGACCGCGGCCGCGAAGCTTACCGCTGACCGTGAAATATCGGGCGTGATCGCGGAAACTCTGGCATTGCCCACCGCTGACTGCGAAATCCCACCACGATAACGGAATCCCCAGCGCGGACGCAAAGATTCACCGTGGATCGCGAGACCCCGGTTCAGAGACATGCAATTTTCTGAAACTATGTAGCACAGTCCGCAACTCACCTGAGCCCTAGGGGCTTCAAACCAAATATGCACACAAGTCCAAAAATACGGACTTGCTCATGTGATCAAATCATCAAAATAATATCAACAACTATGAATTTAACATCAAAATCAATAAAATTCTCAAGAACACTTAAAGTTACTATTTTTACCACCGATGGTCCGATTTATATCAAATCAACTCTGATTCTTACCAAAGTTCACAGATTCAACTTAAACATTATTTTAAACCTGTACGGGGCTCCAGAACTAACATACGGGCCCGATACCATCATATTCAAACATTATTCAATTTCCAAACTTCTTATATTTTTTTATGAAATAATTTTCTTTAAAAATTCATTTCTCAGGATAAGGACCTCGAACCTCAATTCCGGGCATACGCCCAAGTCTCATATTTTTCTACCGACCCTTCGGGACCGTCAAATCACGGGTTTGGATCCGTTTACCCAAAATATTGACCAAAGTCAACTTAAATTCAAATTTAAAGGCAAAATTTACATTTTCCCCCTCAAATTTTCATCTAAGAGCTTTCTGGAAGCACGTCCGGACTGCGCACGCAAATCGAGAAGAAAAAAATAAGGTGTTGAAGGCCTCAGAACCCCGGATTGGGTTCTAAAACACGAGATGACCTTTTGGGTCATCACATCACAAGGTAGGGGTAAGGTCTGCATACATACTATCCTCCCCAGATCCCATAGTGTGGGATAATACTGGGTATTATGTTGTTGTTGTGTTATAATTCAACATATTAAAGCATGTTACTATAGTTGGGGGTGCAGCACAAGTGCATCATAAATATAAGTACAAATAGCAAGGGCTAGCTAGTTTTCGGACCAATAATTAAAAAATAGGCACATTTGTAAAGTCATAAAAATATAGCCACTATTTTATGCGGAGATATAATCTGGATAAAAATACCCTACATGAAATATGAAAAAATTTCAGCATAATATGCCAGATTATGAAACTCATGCATATAAATTTTCAGCATATTATGTTGAAACTCCAGCACATTATAAAATTCCAACATATTATACTCGATTATCATATATAAAAAAATTGAATCCAATATAATTTTTAAGGATATTTTTATTCAGATTTTATTTTTATTTGAAAACGTAACTATATTTCGGTTACTTTTGAAATAATGATTGATTTTCAATTAGCATGTATAAATCAGGCTATTTCTAAATTCTGATTTCCCCCAAAATATACTTGACTATGACAAATCAGCAGGAGATTGGGGTCCAACTCATTAAGGTGTTTAGCTACCAACCATTTTATCCAACTCTACATTTTACCGGGAATCTTGCAGACATCAACGCATATTCCAAAGAGGTATTATCACTTTTTAACCCGCAAGAAATTATTTATGTTTGTCGAAAAATATATAAAATTGTATAATTTTGTATATAGTATACAAATGTATATGTATAACAAATTAAAAAAAATATATTTTTCGGCTATTATTTTAAGAGCGAGTTATTTTCCTATTTTCAAAAGCAATCAAGCACGGGTTTATCCAAGTCGAAATGAAAAGAACCGGCATGATAGTACTAATAAGTTGCGCATAAATTTTCGTATTAATTAGACAGTTTGAGAGTAAGGAAGAAGTACAACGGTTTACTCTTTTGTTGTGTGGGAAAAGAAAAGTTAATTCAGTGCAAGAGAAGTATTATAGACAGAGGAAGCTGCATCCTACGGGATATTTTCTTGATTGTAAAGCATTATTCACAGGATGAGCTTAAATTTGAAGGCGATATTGTTTGTTGGAAAACTACTTAAATTACGACTAAGGCTCGAATGTTGCGGTTTAGGACAAGAGGGGTTGCTCTGATGGTAAGCAACCTCCACTTCCAACCAAGAGGTTGTGAGTTCGACTTTTCCCAAGAGCAAGGTGGGAAGTTCTTGGAGGGAAGGATGTCGGGGGTCTATTTGGAAACAGCCTCCCTACCCTAGGGTAGGGGTAAGGCCTGCGTACACACTACCCTCCCCAGACTCCACTAAGTGGGAATATACTGGATTGTTGTTGTTTGTTGCTCGAATGTTGCGGTTGAGTCTAACTGTCTAAGCTATATTCAATTTAAAATTTAAAATTGAGCCTAAGCTATTTTTTCAAATTCGAGTACTTGTTAGCTGTTAAAAATAATTGAATGGAACCAAATGGTTAGGTATTCGACTTTTTAAGGTGTCTCATTTGATCGATATCCGCATTGGTACTGTGATTAATTTGTATTGCGCAAAATAAGGCATATTAAAAAGAAAAATATTCCTTATCATGATTTTTTTCATAATTATAAAAAATGAAGGGATTATCTTTATCTCGTCAGAATCCTTGATAGTTAGTTATTTCGTTTGGACTCATTTTGATTACAACACTCTAAAAGACAGAAGTGACGTATCCTCTTTCTTTTTGTCTATTTCTTCTTCTTCTTGGTTTTTTCAAGGGGAAGGGGGGGGGGGGGGCACCT